TTTCTGCCTGGATTGATGTCAAACCATGATCCTTTGGATCTCAGCCCCTGAGATCCAAAATCTAGAATTACAGATATGAGTCAGAGTCATCAGGACTCAGCATGAGTTTATATTCTGATAAGGGAGAGAGAACATGTAAACAATTGTGACAGGATATATTTTGTCCAAAAATACATACTTTAGTAACATACAGAGGGAACAGAATATTTAGGGGTCAGACAATCAGAGAAAGAGTTGATTTCTCAGTATGATTTTGGAGGATAATAGTAATTTTCTTAATGGATTCATGGTAGAAAAGGCAGTCTTTAATTTTTGGTGACATTAGCAATCAGTTTCAGGAATGATGAAGTACTATGGTATTCAAAGAAACAAAATGTGATTTGTACAGGCCTGGAATAGGAAGCTAGGAAAGTGGTGTTTGGTAAAGTGGACAAAAGGGTAGAAATACATGTTTATGCTATATGCCTGTTACATTTGAGGAATTATCTTCAAGTAGTTTCCCAGTGGACCTTTGTTTCATTAAATTACTGTAGTTAGTTTTTTTCATTATTTACACTGTCTTTACAAGAGCCTTCAGTTATAGTGATTTCCTAATTCTTTTAAGATCTCTAGATTATCTCTCTTCTTTGATCATTTTTAATAGTTATTATGTTACATAATTTTTGGGGGGGGGTGGGGTCCAGTCGTGGGGCCTGAATTCTGGGCCTGGGCACTATCCCTCAGCTCTTCAGCTCAAGGCTAGTGCTCTACCACTTGAGCCACAGCGCTACTTCCGGCTTTTTTCTTATGTGGTGCTGAGGACTCGAATCCAGGACCTCAGGCATGCAAGGCAAGCGCTCTACCACTGAGCCGCCTTCCCAGCCTATATGTTACATAATTTTTATAGCAAATAGAGTTCTATAAAAGTTAAGTACAAAGCAATTTGGAAATTTCCAACAAAGTGAGTTCCATTTAAGTTGGTAACTAAGTTTTATATATATATCTAGATGGTCTAATTCATAATCCTTTGACTTGAGACAGCATACTTTTATATTCTGTGTATTCTAAGCAATACTGTATGCTTGTTGTTTAAGTTTTTCTTTTACATGTTTGATTATATGTTTTTATAATATCTATTAAAATGAAAATTTTAATGTTAGCTTTGACAGGATTTATTTTACTGCCAGTAAGTTCTGTCTCAATAAATTTGGCCTTTAAAAAGGGACATCATCCTTAAAAGAATAATTAGAATAAAAGGTAAAACAAGAAATAGTAAAACAAATAAAATGGAGTCAAGAACATGTGGAAAAGTGTGCACCAATGGCTCATGCCTATACATCTTACCTACTCAGGAGGCTGAGATCTGAGGATTGCAGTTTGAAGTCAGCCTTGGCAGGAAAGTCCATGAGACTCTTTTTAGTATTAGGTATAGTATTAATTTTGTACAAAGCAGTTGGCACTGATAAAAGCAATTCATGAAAACAGTGCATCTTGATCAATGTCACATATTACATCATTCTCCTCTACCCCTCACAACCCCACCCCTTCCCTCAATATTCTTAATTTTGTAGGATACACATTGAATTTTATGACTCCATTCGCCTTCCCCCTTCTCTTAATTCATCTACTCTCTTCCCCTTGATTCCGCACTTCTTTTGAGTGTTTGTTTTGTTGTACTGTGAGTTAGCCTTTCTAAGGAATTTTGAGTTCTCCCTTGAATCTACAATAATTTGGTTAATATACTTATGTACTTTTGTATACCACATGAAGTGTTTATTATATATTTATAAGTTAATTCTAGATTCTACCTATGAGAGAAAAGATGTATCCTTTGTGTCTCTGGGCATGAATTACTTCACTTAACATTATTTTTTCTAGGTACTTCCATTTATTATTTTTTTGCAAATGATGCAGTATCGGTTTTTAATGCATCAGTAAAATTCTGTTGTGTAAATATATCACATTTTCTTGACCCTTTCATCCATTGTGGGCATCTGGGCTGATTCTATACCTTGGCTATGGTGAATGGTGCTGCAGTGAACATGGTTGTACAGGTGGCCTTACTGTGTCCTACTTTGTGATCTTTTGAATAAATGTCCAAGAGTTGAATTGCTGGAACCTTTCCAGAGTGATGGAACAAATAGTATACCAACAGTGCACTAAGGTTTCTGTCACCCACTTCCATGCAAGCATATGTTATTGTTTTCATGATCATGGTCATTCTAATTGGATGAGGCAGAATCTCAATGTTGTTTGGATTTGTTTTTTCTTTATGGCCAAAGATGTTGAGCTTTTATATGTCTGTTGACTATAAAATAAATTATCATCATTTTTTCCAGTCCAGGGGCTTGAACTCTGGGCCTGGGTGCTATCTCTGAGCTGCTTTTGCTCAAGGCTAGTGCTCTACTACTTGAGCGCAGCCCTACTTTCAGATTTTTCTGCGTAGTTTATTTGAGATAAGAGTCTCATGGACTTTCCTGCCCAGGCTGTATTCAAACCATGATCCTCAAATCTCAGCCTCCTGAGTAGCCAGTATTATAGGTGTGAGCCACTGACACTTGGCATAAAATAAATTATTTTATGAAAAGAAATCTAAGCTTCTCAGTAAAAATCCCACGAAAGATATTTTTCTTGGTTCCTTATATTTCTTAAGGATAGCATTTTGAGAACCAAGAGGGTAGCTCTGAGAATCTGTTTGTAACAGCTTTGTCACATTACAGATTTCCACATTTCTTCTTTTTTCCAGCTAGAGCTTTCTACTTATGACAACAGCTCCTCAGTTCAGAAAACAAACAAACAAACCACAAACCAACAACTCATAATGGTTTTTTCCATCATACTGGCTATCTAGTCCCTCTTAGATTTCTTTTGTTATCCCGTAATCCATAATCGTGTCTTCCTGTGTGTAAGTGTGCATGTTACTGGCAATTGATCTAAGGTATTTCAACTTGCTAGGTAGGCATTACCACTTTAGCCAGGCCTCTAGGAAATAGAACATTTTGTTGAGCTAAATACAGCCAGCCCTCCTCTTTCCAAAAAGTAGCAATTCTAAAGATTTGGAAATAGATTTTGAAAGTTCAGAAATAATTTTTCTACAGAAACCTCCTCCTTGTCCTCATCTTCCTCTTCTACTTTCTCCTCCTTCGTCCCTTCCTCCTTTTCTCCCTCCTTTCCATTCCTCCTCCTCCTCCTTCTTTTTTGTCGGTTGTGGGTCCTGAACTTGGCCTTTGTGCTGTCCCTCAGCTCTTCAGGTCAAGGTTAGCACTCTACCATTTGAGCCACAGCACCACTTCCAGTTTTTTCTGCTTATGTGGTACTGAGGAATCAAACCCAGGCCCTCATGCATGCAAGGCAAGCACTCTACCACTGAGCCACCTTCCCACCCCCTCCTCTTCTCCTTCTTAAGTCTCACAATGTATCCCAGGCTGGCCTCAAACTAGTAATCTTTCTGTCTCAGCCTCTCAAGTGCTGGGATTAGAAATGAACTCCCCTTACCCTGCTTTTAAAGTAATTTTTGGTAACTGTCTATATAGCTCAAGCTGGTTTCAAACTTATGATCCTCCTGCTGAGTTCAATGAGCTGGATTTACCACCTTCATTGGCTTCTTCATATTTCTTTATGGTTATCTTTTGTAGTCTAAGAAACTAGTCATTGAGATCAATAACTAGATCTGTTTTTCTTTGGTAATTTCAGAAAACCAGCACTATTCTAAATGTAGGTTTAAAAAAAATAATGCATTACTGTATTTACCAAATATCAATGGTATTTAAATTAATACAAAATAATAAAATGTGTTTTTAATAATATACCTGAATATGTCCATTCTAAAGGTACATGATGTAAATTATATAATGTAAAACAAATTCTATAATATGAACTACACTTCTTACATTTCATAGGCAGCTTCCATCCTATAAATAGAACATTTACAGGGCTGGGAAGGTGGCTCAGTGGTCTAGTGCTTGCCTCACATGCATGAAGCCCTGGGTTTGATTCCTCAGCACCACATAAGCAGAAAAAGCCGGAAATGTTGCTGTGGCTCTAGTGGTAGTATGCTAGCCTTGAGCTGAAGAGCTGAGGGACAGCACCCAGGCCCAGAGTTTAGGCCCCATGACTGACAAAAAAAAAAACAAAAATAGAACATGTACATTGTATAGGCCAGCCCACAGTAGTTACTTAACTATTGTTCTTGAAATAATGAAATTAATTAATCATAATATATACAATGAAATAATGTATATTGATGTTTTAAACTATTTTTTATTACAAGAGTAAAGTTGTACCATGTTAGGAGTGTAGTGCCTTTTAAACTAGGATGTCAGAGTTACAGCTTTTTGGATTTGTGTATGTGCACACTGTGCATGTCCTTTGCAGGAAAGGGTGGGAGAATGGATAGAAAAAGAGACACTTTTACCATAAGAAGTGGCTGAAACATTCATATCATGCACGTGTACTCCTTTCCCGCTTTCATTCTTGTCTCCATTGCCCACTTGCTAGCTGCAGCCACATGAGCAGAGATCATTAGTGTTTTCCAAAAGGAGCTAGAATAGAGGGAACTGTTGTTTGGATGTTTGGTAAGTTCAATATTTTAACCTATAAAACCCACAGTGCTCAAATGTAAAGCCAAATAGAAATATAATACTCAAAATATCAGAGTATATCAAGAAATACTCTGAATCCAATTTGAAATGTCTGTATTCTGAGTATAGTAAGCATTTAATTTTATTCTAAATATTTCATGCTTTTCATATTAATAGTTAAAATTAATAAAGAAAAACTCTGCATATGTAACAGTTACTATAGTATTTTACAATTCTAACCCATAAGCCATATGTGTTGTATTAACCATATTTCAAACAAGCTAGTTGTTAAGACAGAAAATAAACACAATTTTCAATGGAATGTTTCAGAATTCCCAAGGAATGATAGCAGGATCCATAGATTGGTGTGCACTGTAGTATTGAAGGTAATTTAGCTATCAGTTTGTTTTCATTTCAACTCTTGCATTGCTGTTTGTCTAGGGGATAGTGATCCTAGAAGAATGTCAACTTCCAAAAGACATTTTGAAAAAACAAATACAATTCACAGACCAAGCAGCTTTGTTACATACTACAGGGAACTCCCAGGCCCACCAAGGGAGTCAAGATCCTTTACCAGAACAAGATTTTGAGATGTCACCAAGCAGCCCTACACTACTTCTTCGAAACATAGAGAAACAGGTAATGTTGGAGTGTAGTGTCTATAGTATGAAGTAATTTCTCATCAGTTTTTTGGACAGGGCCTGCACTTGGTAGGAAAAGTGCTCTACAACGTGAGCCCACTTTTCATGAGTTTCATAAACTGCCGGCTATGGCTTGGATATGAAGTATTCCATGCAGATGTTCATGTATTGAATCCTCTGTCTGTCTGGTTTCTGGCTACCTTGGAGTGAGCAGTTTGCTCTGCCATGCCCTCCTGCTACCACTCTAGTTCATCCCAGGCTCATGGCAACAGACCAGCCCGTCATGGAGTGAAACCTCTGATAAAAGGAGCCAAATGAAATTCTCTTGCGTCCACTGTTTTCTTTTTTATAGTTTGTCACAGCAATGAAAGACTATTCAATAATTACCACTGTAAGCGTGTACTCCTGGGATGTGGATAATTAAAGTTGGCTATTTGACACTACATACAGTTTAAATATTAGTTACACAACTTGTCTCTATTATGTTGATGTAGTTAAAGTTACTTAAGTTAATATGTAAAGTATTAGTACAGAGCCATAAGGTGAGTATTAATTTACAACAGAGTTGGAAAATCTTTTTTTCTAACAAAATTTCTAATCAGTATGCTTTTTTCAATGGAGAAAGAACAATGTTATATAATTACAGTAGTTAATAAAAAATAGTTTGACTAATTTATTGAGATTGAAATGTAAATTTATTTAAAAAATAACAAATTATAGTAGCTCTCAAAAAACTACTTTGATTATAAAGTTTTCCCTAGTATCTAAATTCTATTCTCAACGATTTGAGAAGTTTATTTTTTCGTGTCTACCCAATATAAATCCATTATAACTAGATGAGGTATACCCTGTATTGACCATATTACATAATTTCGTGGTTCCCCTGGGAAATTATATACTTTCACACATGCTTATTTTTAATTCTCCTGAGTATTTCTAACATAAACTGTAAACTAAGTTAGTACTTGGTTCCTGGTCAAGCAAAATACAGTAGACATTCTCCCACTCCATCTTATGCCTACGATTGCTTAGTTTTCCTTTGCTGGAAGATGTAAGCAAAACACTCTGCAGAATATTTTGGAATGCAGAAAGTTATTTGGTAGTTACCTGCTGTTAATTGAAATGTCCTCTGCCGTATCAGCCATGTTTTAAGTTCGTACTGGTTACAGTCTCACATGCTTCCCTCTTTTTCCCTCTGTTCAGCTCTTCCTGTCCCAGTCAAGCGTTCTTTTTGCACTTGTTGGTCACTACTTTCTGAACAGTAAACTGGTTAAGTTAATTCTAGAGGGATCATCATTTTTCAGAGAACATTTTTAGAGCCAAGTGTGGTGGTACATACCTATTATCCCAGCATTTGAGAGACTGAGGCTGGAGCATTATGAGTTTCACTCAGCCTGAGCTACACAGCAAATTCCAAAGCAGCCAGAGATTTAGGAAGAGACCTTGTTTCAAAAATTAAAGATTAGCTGAGTGTAAGTTGCTATGCCTACAATCCTAGCTACTCAGGTGGCTGAGATCTAAGGACCAAGGTTTGAAGCCAGCCCAGTCAGGAAAGTCCATTAGACTCATCTCCAATAAACTACTAAGAAGTGGGAAGTGGAGCTATGAATCTAGCCTTGGGCAACAGGACACAGAGCTCAGGCCTGAGTTCAAGCCCTAGCACTGGCGTCAAATTAATTAACTGATTAATTACTTAAAAAGAAAGGAAGGAAAGGGAAAAGGAAGAAAGAAAAATGGGGAATAAGGAAAGACAGAACAAAAATTTTGCGAAGTTGGTTCTCTTTCCTTGATACTACTAATTTGTTTTGTTAGACTTTAAGAAATTATCAGAACTGGCTAATTAGTAAAGCCTAGAACAAAATGAAATTACAAAGTCCTTTGTTGAAAAATTAAGAGTCGCAAATGGTGACAGTGGAGTGTTAAGCAATCATAGGTCCCTCTGAGGATGGCCTGTATAGAACTCATTCCCATGCATTTTAGGTCACATTGTTGATGGGAAGGTTAGAGGTATTGGAATCTTTCTTTCTTTTTCCTTCCTTCCTTCCTTCCTTCCTTCCTTCCTTCCTTCCTTCCTTCCTTCCTTCCTTCCTTCCTTCCTTCCTTCTTCCTTCCTTCTTTCCTTCCTTTCTTTTTCTTTCTTTCCTTTCTCTCTCTCTCTCTCTCTCCCTTCCCCCTCCGTGTGTGTGTGAGAGAGAGACAGAGAGAGACAGAGATAGAGAGACAAAGAGAGGAGGGGGAGAGAGAGAGAGTGAGCAAGGGAGATAGTAGAGCTTGAATTCCTTGTCGTCAGCTTGCCAGGCAGGTGCTCCACTAAGGTTAGAGACTTTGATAGGGTAGGGAACTACGACTTGTGAGAGGAACAGTAATGGTATAATGTCATAATATTTTATAGATCTACTTTTAAATCAAATTGTTTTAAAATACTTGTTAAGGAAATCTAGAAGTCAATTATATGGTAGAGGTAGTGAGCTTGATATACCTATTTTTATTAAGATAATCTATTGCTATACAACTGTCCATTGATAATATTTCAACTTGATTATTTTTATTAGAGGTGGCCATTAAAATATAAAGGTGCTGTTGAGTTGTACACTGAAGTTATTTTTAGCATAGATTTGTAATATTGATATTTGTATTGTTAGCTAATTTATTTTTAAATTAAAAGGTGTCTTATTTATTTGTTTTAGTTTGTCAGTCATGGATTTGAACTCAGGATCTGGTGCTGCTCCTGAGCTCTTTTGCTAATGTTGTACCACTTTGAGCCACAGCTCCATTTGCATTTTTGATGGTTAATTGGAGATAAGAATTTCCCAGACCTTCCTGCCTGAGCTGGCTTTGAGCTGTAGACCTCAGATCTCAGCTTCCTGACTGGCTAGGATTATAGGTATGAGCCACCAGTGTCTGGCTAGGAGCCCTATTTTTAATTCTATAAATGATTTAAAATAAATTCCTTAAAATAAATAAAATATTTCCCTACTGGGAAATATTGTGCTAGAGATCTTATAATAATAGTTGTTAAGTGTATTCTCTTGAAATTGATGGTTTTGGTTACTAGAGTTCAAATTATGCATCTGTTAATTTACTTTGCTTGGTGTCTTTGTTAATTCAAATTAGTTTGACTGATTGTAAAATAACAATGGTGTTTTTTAATGCTCACCTTGGCCAGTTACTCACATATACCTGATCAGTGAACTCCAAGGGCTTGAAAGATTTAGATGATATGTTTGGAGATAAATAATAACAAGAGCCAGGCCTTGGTGGCTCATGCCTATAATCTTAGCTACTCAGGAGGCTGAGATCTGAGGATCAAGGTTCAAAGCCAGCCAGGGCAGGAAGTTCGTGAGACTCTTATCTCCTTTTTTTTTTTTTTTCCTTTTTTTGGTTGGTCATGGGGCCTTGTACTTGCTAGGTAGACAACCTACTCTTAAACCCCAGTCTTAGTCCTTTTTGCTCCAGTTATGTTTCAGATAGAATCTCTTTTTTTGTGTGTCAGTCGTGGGGCCTGAACTCTGGGCCTGGGCACTGCCCCTGAGCTCTTCAGTTCAAGATGAGTGCTCTACCATTTGAGCCACAGCACCACTTCCGGCTTTCTCTGCTTATGTGGTTCTTAGGAATCAAACCCAGGGCCTCATGCATTCAAGGCAAGCACTCTACCACTGAGCTGCCTTCCCAGCCCCAGGATTGGAACTTAGGGCTTTGTATTGCTAGGCAGGCTCTCAACCCTTCAGGAACTGTTTTTAAAATGAAATTATTAGGGACACATCTTTTGGTACATTTATAAACCATTTTAAGATTTTTTATTATGAAAAATATTTTGGAAGGGTTGAATATTTGATTTAACTCTATCATATTCTTTACTCATTTTCTTGCAGCATTATGAGGTTTGTTCAAATGAAGGGTTGAAAACAATTACTTTGTGGTAAAATAGTTTACAGTCCATGAAAATCGTGAAACATGTCTATACATAATTTTTAAAGACAATCATACTATGTTAAGGGAGAAAAACTAGTTTGGAAAATTCATGTGCATGGTTTAATATTTAAAAAATGTGTGCAGCCAGGTGCTGGTGGCTCACACTGGTAATCCTAGCCACTTAGGTTGAGATCTAGAGGACTGTGGTTCAAAGTGATCCAAATATCTAATTTTATATGGGGAGGCTATATTATATTCTCACACATAATAAGGAAACTATCTGGTTATAAAAATATATACCAAGCAGTTAGAAATAGTTTACCTTGCTAATTATGTTGACATTCTTTATATTTTTTAATATTCATACATTACTATTTTTTTTGGGGGGGGTCCGGTTGTGGGGCCTGAACTCTGGGCCTGGGCGCTGTCCCTCAGCTCTTCAGCTCAAGGCTAGAGCCCTACCACTTGAGCCACAGTGCCTCTTCCAGCTTTTTTCTGTTTGCTTATGTGGTGCTGAGGAATCGAACCCAGGGCCTCATGCATGCAAGGCAAGCTCTCTAACACCTTCCCAGCCCCACCTTACTATTTTTCTAAAGTGAACATGGTGGTACATGTTTGTAATTCTTGAAACCTACAAGATTCTGGGTTTGAGGCCAGTCTAGGCTACATAGTAACATCCTGTCCAAAAGAAAAAAGCAGTGAAAGCAAAATCTTTTGTGGGGCTTGAACTCAAGGCCTGGGCACTGTCCCTGAGCCCTTTTGCTGAAGGCTAGCTAGCACTATACTACTTTGAGCCACAGCACCACTTCTGGTTTTCTGGTGGTTAATTGGAGATAAGAGTGTCATGGACTTTTCTGCCCCAGCTGGCTTTGAATCATGATTCTCAGATCTTAGCCTCCTGAGTAGCTAGGATTACAGGCATGAGCCACCACTGCCTGGCAGAAATTGTTTTTTTGTTTTTTTTTTTAATGTGCCATTTCTATTTTGTGGCCTTTATTATAATTGTAAAAAGTTATGATGTTTAGAAGAATTTTATATTTATTACATATATTGAAATTTGGAGGTGAGGAGCTAAGGAATATTTTGGATGCCAGAAATCATAATTTTATATTTTTGAATTGGAAAAATTGAGAAGTAAGTGTGGTATTAGATTTGGACCTGCATTTGAAAACTACTTAGCACCATTTTTTTTTTTTTTTACCAGCTTTATAGCCCATGCCTATGCTATTTATCTTTTTTTTTTTTGCTATGATTTACTCATCTGTAATTGGTGTTGATAGTAATATCACTAGATAGCTCTAATATTACCTGTTTTGCAGCTTAGTTGCAAAGATTAGAATGCTTTAGAGTATTTAGTATAAGTGTCTGGCTCATGCTATGTACTTAATAAATTATAGCTATGGTTTTTCACTATTATCCGCTGTTTAGTGAATGGGATTGATAAAAATAATTGTAATTCAAAAAAAGGATATGGCAAAAATGGATAATTTAAACTGAAGATTGGCTTATACGAATGGAAAAAATCAGTGTGTTGTAGATAATTTTTTGTAGATGAAAATAATTACTAAAATGTAAATACTTGCATGTTTCACAAGAAAACACTGTAGGCCAGACAGTGAGCTCACATTTTGCATTTCAGAGTACTGAAAGGTTGAGTGTTTCCTTGCAGAGTGCACAGTTGACCGAAATCATCAACAGTTTGATTGCTCCACTCAACTTGTCTCCAACTTCATCTCCCCTGTCCTCCAAATCCTGTAGCCATAAATGTCTGGCTAATGGAATTTCCAGGAGGTATGTGACTTGATTTAATTTACTTAGCTTTAGTTGATGTATAAGTATTATAGCTACTTTTTATTATAGCTACTTTTTTCTTCCAATGAAGGACTATAATTGGTGACCCACAGATAATAATTTTAGATGACAGACTTAGTTTTGTGATATGAACCTTGCAATAAACAATAAAGGTTTCCAGAATATTTGATTATCTTCCTAAAAAAGTGTACCATTGATAGCATTTTCTATAAACCACTACCTTACTATGCTTTCTATTTTGTACCTCTTGTTCTTTTTAATTCCACAAATCCTTGAAATGCATTTTGAGGGGAAAAAAAGTACCTAAGTATAGGTTGGGAACAGAAGATTGTCAAATATCACCAGTAAGCTCAGCTTAAATTTTATTCAGTTGATTTAGTATATTAACTTTTATAATATAATTTTCTGAATGTATTAAAACATAGGCTATAAAATCATTACCAGTCTTCTATATCAGAAATAATATATAGTCTGTTACTTCTAATTCTTTTTCCAGAAGAGCATTAGTTATATTTTATTTCTCTTACTTTTCTCTTGGACTTTTCTTATATAAAGAAGTGATAGAAGATAATAGAATAATTACTAATAGAATATTATTTTGTGAACAATCTAAATTTTTCAAGTCAAATTATAACTTTAGCTTTGGCTTATTATTAAGGAGGAGTAAGAATACTTTTGAATTTGAATTAATATTAATAATTACATGATTTATTATTTTAATAACTTCTTGATATAGAATAAAAGGAAAGTTTATACCATGATGAAATCATGCTTCTTAGACATCATATGCTTAATGAAATTAGTGAATATAAACCAACTTTTTTTTTTTGTTGTTGGTCATGGGGCTTGAACTCTGGGCTTGGGCACTGTCCCTGTGCTCTTCAGCTCAAGGCCAGTGCTCTACTGCTTGAGCCACAGTGCCACTTCTGCTTTTTCTAGTGGTTTATTGGAGATAAGAGTCTCACAGACTTTCCTGCCCGGGCTGGCTTTGAACAGTGATCCTCAGATCTCAGCCTCCTGAGTAGCTAGGATTACAGGCGTGAGCCATCGGTGCCTGGCTATAACCCAACTCTTAAAAATGCAATTATCTGATTTTTATTTCTAATTAGTTTCAAAGTTTAAATTTTAATGATCTTACAATTTTATTCATGCTGGGATACTTATTATTATTTAGGTTTGCTTTATTTTTTTGTTGGCTTTATATTTATTCCTTGCATCACTGCTGATTCACTTTGAAAATGAAGGAGTCATATGTTGTATAAGGCAACAATGATACTTCTAAAAATCTAAAAATCTTAATTATGTGAGTCATGATAACAGTATAAACTGATTTATAATTTGAATCATTAAAAGATGTATGTGGTTTATGTGATTTTAATAACATTTTAACCTAAGAAAGTACTAGTGTATATACATATATATCATATTTATGTATGTGCATGTTTATGGATACATTTTCATTTTAAGTGTAGTTTACCCCACCAGTATGCATTCTCCATGTGTGTATTCCATGTCCCTGGATCCCAACATTACTAATCAAAATTATCTGAGAAAAAATGCCATTGTACTGAACATGTATAAATTTATTTTTCTTCTCTGAACACAGCATGACAACCATTTACATTGGTTAGATATTGTAAGTAATCTAGAGATGATTTAAAATCTACAGGAGGATGTGTGTAGGTTATATGTAAATATTACATCATTTTATATAAGGGATTTGAATGTTCCTGATTTGGGTATCTGAAGGGGTTATGAAACGAGTCTCTTAAGGATATGTAGAAATGAGCGTACTTTCATATAAAAATGTTGACTTTAACTTTTTAAAGTGTGCCAACAGGTGTTTTAATAAGGCTTTTTATAGCAGTAAACTTAAACTACTTTCTCTGTAATGTGTTTCAAAAAGAATTTCTTTTCAAGTTCATTATGAAAGTTGTATTTCTCTTAAAGGAAAGATTGTCTTTATTTGCTAACATTTATTAGATCATATAATAAGGCTACTTATTATCAAAGAAGAGGTGAGCAATTTACATTACAGTTTCTGTTTAACATGTATCAATAGTGTTTGTAAATTTCTGCTACCAGATGACCATTAAACTATGTTATAAATGTAAAGATTTTGGGGAATATCTCCGGCTTTGTAACAATATTTTATAACTATTCTACCATTTAAGATAGTACATGCTATAATCTGTATGTCTCTTTCACCCAAAACATAGAAACTGGGATATATTATAGACAAGAGAATATAAATACTGAAAAGAAATCAACTTTTGAACAAAACGTAGTTTGTTATGTCAGATGCCAGAGAAGTACTAAAAAGTATTTATTTATTTATTTTGTCAGCTATGAGTTAAGACTTTCACCAGAGTAGTTTAGTGTCATGAGGGAGACAAAAGATAAATGTGGAAATCAGAGAATCTGTACAGAGGAGTCAAAACTATATCACAAGCTTGCTTCCTGTAAAAGTTACAAAATAACTATGCAAGGTCAAAGGAAGTATTCTTGTAAGCATCTTTATTAACATAAAGGGAATAAAAGGAGCAAGAGATTGTAAATTAGTAATACTTAATCACAAAGTTCTTAAGGTATGTATAGAAAAAATAAATGTATTCTTTAAATGTGTCATGAAAGAGATTAAGATGTATGTTGATGAATTTTTTTATAAAGCGATTATAGCCAGATTAAGAGTGAGAAATGGAGCTTAATGAATTAGCTGAAGCTGTGGATAGATATTGACAAATACACTTCTTTCTTCTCTCCTCTTTTAAATTCAGGAAATCACAGATTTCTGATAATGACAATAAAAAAGAAATAGGTCAGGAAAACTATTAGAAGTAGAGAAAATATGAAAAGACAAAGGCAAAGGTAACATCTAAAAGTAAGCAGTGTTGAGGGAAAGGTTTTATCTAAATTGGAGTCATAGTTAGATATAGCTGACTTCTCAGGAGCTATAAGGAGCCAGGGTTTAGTGGAATGGTATCTTCTGTGTGCTCAAAGAAAATAGATGTTTACTTAGAATTTCGAGGTAAAGAGAAAATGTTTTTAAGTGTGAAACACAAGCATTTTCAGCCCACCTAAACCGAAAAAGTAGACTAATGATCCAGAAGGAAAATCTCAATGGTAAATAACTGTAGGAATATGTATCGATGTAATCAAACAATAAAATATATTTAGATTGATTTTTTAAAGTATGCATGAATAACAATGATGAATAAATAACCCATATGTGTGTGTTCCATAAAGGCCAGAGGAGGGTAAATAGACTTAAATTGTACTCAGGTCCTTGATATCCTAAACTAAATATGATAGGGAGTCTCCTTAATAGGTTGGGAGCTTCTTGGTTTGTGATAATGTTATAATCTTGGTCTGGTTGGTAGTTTCAGGTCAGTAGCTGACTGAAGGAAGCACTGTTTTATATTTCCAAGTTAAACAAATATTCTATGTATTTGTTTATATGTCATATTTCATAGTTTCATGTTAAAAAATGAGACTCAACCCATATACGACTTCAAGAAGGATAAAGAGAAAATACAGTTGTCCTCATAATTTTGAAAAGAAAATTTCAATGACATTAATCATCATGAACCTTAGAATGAGAATAATCTAGATTCACAGGTATAATATTTAATTTGTTGATAGGAGAAATAGTTATATCTCATTTTAACCTTTTATCTTAAAGTTTTTGTGACAGGATTGATCCATTTGTTGAGTTTATAATCTTTCCCTTCTCTTTACCTGACAAATCTGTCTTGATCTAGGATGATGTTTGTTTTGTCTTTTTTTTTTTTAAAAGAAGTATTCATATATGATTACAGAAGATAATAAGAAATGACTAGGGAAAAGAACAAGCAGCTATCATATATCTTTAGTCTCCTTGTGGCCTGAAAAGAATTCTTGCATTTATTTGTGAATTTTGAAGTACATGCTCAACCAAAATGTGTGAATTAATACAAATGTATTAATTAATGGAGACAAAACTAGCAGAACGATAACAAGCAGTTTCAGAATATTACAGATGTAAAACATATATATATATATATATATATATAAATAATAGGCAATTTTGTGATTTTCTTTGGTAATATAATTTCTATAATAAGGCGTGCTTATTTGAATTTTATATCTCATTTTATCATAATTAATTATACCATTAAAAGAAATTCAAAATTTTTAATTTGTCCATTTCTTCGATACTCTTTTTGGATCATATAGAACTTCTTGTTTGAAAATTTTTTTTAAAAAATTAAGGTCATTTTATGATATCCTAATTATCACTTTGCTACATTGTCTTTAAGCTTGTCTGGTTCATAATTTTCTAGGATACCTTGTGCACATTTGCTACTCACTGATTCCTAAACCCCATCTCTTATTTAATAGGAGGAAAGTATTAGAGGTTTTTTTTAATGCTTTATTAAGACCTGAAATGAATCACTAGGAAATGAGCAAAATAAAAATATTGAGAATTCAAATAAATGAAGCATTACATTTTATCATAATAGAGGTATTTATGAGCTTTTAGAACTCATATTCTATGTGAAGATAAAATGTTGCTAATGGATTGTTGTTTACCCCATGGGGTATAATCTCTGAGAAAGTAAATTTCTACTTGAAGTAATGTCTAGATTTTTGGTGTTTGTTTTTGCCTTAATGAGCTCCAGAATGTGATTGGAAATTAAATTCCAATCAATCATTCCCATTCTATTTATTTCCACTAATGGTAATTATCTCACATGAAATACAGCCATTCTTTCTAATTGGCTGTCATAATGAGAAACTTAAGTTGAACTGGCAAAGTAGTCACATATAAAGTAATTCTTTCTCCCTCACAATGTTTCAATAGTCACTTCTCAATTATGATAAAACATTATTTGCCAGCATTATATTCCAACTCAATGTTTTCAATATAATTTTGGATTCCTATGAATGACATTAATTATCATATTAGCTAGATGTATGATGTCAATAGGGAAATAAAA